TATACTAAACCCCTTATTTAGATAACATCTACTCATGCATAAAGGAGGAAGATTCTTCAAGGCCTATAACTGATGGCAATCGCGTTGTTAAGCTTTCTCAGTCCAAATTGCTTGCTGTGGGCATGCTACAACCTTCATGTACGTTTTAACGAACAAAGTACTCCACTTTCTCATCCTTGAACTAAGGGCATATTCATGAACAAACTTTAAATTTTATTTCTCATAATTTCACACCTTTTAGTATCAAATAAATACCTTTAGGTACAAATCACCTTCTTTCCAAAAGTGTATATATGCAAGAGTACCCGAAAACCTTTTATTTATTTACTTTAAAAAGAAAAAGAAACACTTCCCCTCTCACATGTATAATGAAAGACATTTTTATATTTATTATTAAATTAGTTCTCTGAAAATATCTCTAGAAATGAAACCACATTCGGGATCAGTATAAATTGGTCTATTAAATTTGTGAACTTATTAAAAACAAGTATGACCAATAGAGAAATTAAGTTTATTCCATAAAATTCGTGGATTTAACATATTTCGTTTGTAGGTTCAGAAAATTAACCAAGAGCTCATGTTTTATATCCAACTCAAAAGTAAATTTAAATTAGATGCACCAAATTTTAAGTTTTAAAAATTAAATAAAAAAATAAATTTGTTTAAGTATAAATAAAAAAATACAAAATATATAAAGGTCTAAGTCTCACATTTGAATAAAAATAAAAAAATAAAACATCGTATAAATGAAAACTCATTAATTTATTATTTTAAGGTTTTTATTAACAGCAGCGTCAATATGGTTTCATCGTCACTCTCTGACCTTTTCATTCTTTTATAATTTTTTTAAAGATATTTGTTTCATTGAAACACGCCGTATATTCTAAATTCTTGTTTTATTGGATTAATGTAAACTGATAAGATTTTTAATTGCAGCAAAATATCTAACCATTTAATTGTGTGTTTCTGATGCAGTTATAGTGTTTCATGTGTCTATTGTTTTTATATATATCTTGTTTAACTTATGTATGTTTGAGTTCGTCTTAACTTACAGTTTTTTTTAAGCTTTTCTTGTTGATTTAATATTAATATGATCATTTATTTAAAATATTTATTTCATACTAAAGTAATTCATCACATAAATCAAATACATATCATATTTAACACTTATGTCTTATTGTAACATCACAAAAATACAGTATAAACCATATAAGAGAATAATCACATTTTAATAATATTACAGATCAATCTTACAAAAGATCGCAAGCACAGTTATGGCCGAACGGCCTTACAAAATACTACAGAATTTAAAACTTTACAAAATTCTACCGCTTAAAACGAACGGTTTCCAAAAACACCAATAACGAACGGTTCAACAGAACATAAGTAGCAATAATAACCGAACATTCCTAAGGTTCGGCCTTCACTTCCACCTCTTCCAGTGCTTCTTCCAGTAATTCTTCTCCTTCTGCTCACATCCACACGGATGATCATTGCAACAGGACAAACAATCAAACAGACAACACAGACAAGACAATAAATAGGGTAAGCTTATGTAATTTAATTAATTCAATAAAACATACAATTTTCATGATTAAATCAAACAATAACCAAATCATAATTCATACATCATTGCATGCAAAGAACGACCACTTGTTTCTGACTGTCCGAACTATATGAATTCTGTGTAGCTACGACGTTCGTGCACCCGGGTGATATAGTAACTGGGATACCCTCAACAGCTCCCACCCGAGGTTAATCCGTTCCGTCCAAGTTAACCTTATGGACTAGGACCTCCTGCCATTCCCACACATGACTTACTCCTCTCTATGTGAGAATGAGTAATCACGGAATATCAGGATAAACGTCAGCTAAGCTTTGCCCACATTCATACTTTACCATTCAATTAATAACTTTCTGAGATATTCCTCCATGGAATACTCTTTCATAACCAAACTATTTCATTCATATCACATTTCAAATTCCTTATACTTCATCATCAATATATTCAACTGAAATCAAATCACACTTTCTCATCATAGCACAAGTCCGAATGGAATAACACTCCTTAGAAACTAACATGACAGAGCGCTAATTACAAATGGATCCGCTTCAATGCAATGACCCTTAAGAGTTCAAACCGAACGCCACGAAGCCTAGGCCGAGTACTAAGACTCTAGGCCGAACACCATTTAGAGACTGATACTGTTCAACACCAAATACTAATAACTGACGAGATACTATGAAGAAACGAACGCTATTGAGTTTGGGCTCTTATTTTAAAAACGGTAATAATAGATTACTAAGACGAGACCGAGCGCTTGGTTTAAGACCGAGCACTGTAGAAACCGAACACTATTGAACGAGCGCTGGTCCAAGACCAAGCACTTATCAAGAACGAGCGCTACTGAGACCGAACACTTGGTCCAAGACCGAACACTACTAAACTTAAATAAAATGAAGGAATATATATATACAATTACGTCACAATTATTTTTAATGAAAAATAACGATATCATCTACGACTTTACGTATTATAGAATACATTAACTAAACTGTTTAGGAAACATAAAGAAGAACTATACTTAGACCGAACGCTCATTTACATATATCTAATAATATAAAACGATCGTCATTAACTAAATTCTCTCCATAAGAAGAATTTAGTTTAGACGGACGCTCAAAGGAAAACCGAATGATCAATACTGACTCTCGGTTACAATTTACATAATTCTGCAGAGTATTATAGAATGACTCTCAGACAATATCCCTAAAGCATGAGAATTCAGTTAAGACCCTACAATTCCATGAAGAATCGAACGATCACGAATGACGCTCGACCACAATTATAGAATTTACTTAGAATACTGCAGCTTGAAGATCAAACCCTATTTCAACTCAATTCACACCATTTATCAATCATCCACCCACACATCCAAACATGCAGCAACACGAATATTTCATATTCATCAAATAATCAAACAAAGTATCATACAAACATACAACCATTCAGAACAAGAATCTTAATCAAATTATATATGCTTCCCTTACCTCTAAACGTAGCCGAACGCTCACAGATGCAGAATAGGGTTCACCTCTACCAGTCTTATACACTTAGAGCCCACCGATTTAAAATTAAACCAAATTCAAGACCAAAGTTTCTATCAGAATGAGATAATACACTCATGCAACCAGAAATCTGGGTTTGCATGTGAAAGGAAACGAACGTTCTAGGGAGAAAGTAACTCACCGGCTTAGAATCACAACTCGATCAATTTAAATGAAAACCCTTGATGTCGGGAGAGTTCAAACGGTGCCTGAGTGGTGATCGGAAGAAGAAAAGGATGAGAATCCTTAGAGAAAAGGTGGATATGGTAGAGAGAAGGAGGAGATTCAGAAGGTTGAAGATGAAGGGTGCATGCAGAAAGTAGCACGAAATTTGAAAGCTTAAGTTTTACTCCTACCGTCAAAACCGTTCGTCCAATCTACATCACACACCTGTCTTCCACTTTCTGAATTTCAATCACCCTTACATTTACACATGTAATCTACTAAGTTGGGGTTTTAAGGATTGTGACACTTCTAATTTATGACTCTTTTTTTTTTCTAAAACGAACTTCCTTAATGCTTGCCGCAACATAGACACGTTGCCACAACCGAAGATGAAGCCCTTGCACAGTTTTACTTGAACTCATGGTTCATATATCTATTGGCTATTTGTGAACCATAGACTTGAAAAGAATTCGTTTATTTCATGAACTAAACTCGTCTCAATGATTTAAAACTTCGCATGTGCTACGTGTGTAAGAGCAGTTGAGAGGGTGATTAAAAAATCTACTTATAAGTTGGCGAAGTGTAATGGCTCACAACCAACCAAAAAAACATGAAAAAAGATATGATTTTATAATGTCAATACAACATTAGACTTGCTTTCTCAATAATTGAGTTCTGCATTGGGATTCCAGAATAATAATTTTAACCATGCATGCACGAGTGTGAAAATGAAAGACAAAACAAATTAAATACAAGAAATCGATGTCTATGTTTAGTTCCTATCGTTCCGATGGATAAGGTGTGAAAGAAACTCGCTGCGTCGTCAAACTCAGGCAGAGAAGCTTCAAGAGGGACCTGTCCATTCGCCCCTATAATTTCACCACCTTAATGCCATCATCAAACACAAGCACTATTATTTCTTAAAATAAGTGGAATCCACTGTGATTGCTATTCCAATAGCATTTTTTTATTATATCATTATTCCATTGTTCTAAATTGCTAATATATGTTAGTATCTTTTCCTAGAAAACATATAAAAATGTTAAGCTTAATTGTCTTTTCTTCACTTAGTACTATAATTATGGTATTTTACTTTTTTGGGTTTTTAATTGTGTTGATGAAATTGTTCAATAACAAAATCTGTAATCTCAGTATGGAGGTTTCATATATCACACTTGTACAATTTTAATAATCTAATCATCAGAATGTTGAGTACCCAATTGATATAATCGGGATCTCAGCTAGTAAAATCGCACAATTATAATACTTAAAACACTAAAAGTGTAATTAAGTTAAAATGTTAAAAAGATGATAAGAGAATATGGTAAAAAAATATTTCTAATTGTTTCTTAAATTTATTTTAAGAACATTATTTAAACATGAAAGCAACCTTAAAAAAACATTTTCTTCCATTAAAAGAATGATTTCCATTTACCTAAATTTTATCAGTAAATAAAACAACCCAATCATCGGTACGTGGAATCCATAATGTTTCTTGTATGCACACACAACAATTAAGAATATCCTGTGGCTTACGTATTATACCTAGTGCTAAAGCAGGGTCACGTGTGAGCTCCATGGTGAGATTCTTACACGCTTCAAAATATAAAAAAAGACATCAAAATTATCTTTGTTACAAACTTTCAACCATAGTTAGTTCTCAGTACCGTTATGCCACACAACTTCTACGAGGAGGGTTTAGAAGCTATAAATACCATAGTGGGTGCAACGTTTTTCACTTAGGAGACACAAGCAACATCAAGTGTTCTTCCTCTGTACACAACCCTGTTCCTAGTTCAGAGTACCGTCCTTTACCTCGTACACATATCAGAGAGAAAAAAAAAATGGAAGGAGAGGGTTATTGTGGGAGTTTCTTTCAGAGGTGCAAGCCTTACATAGCTATGATTTCTCTGCAATTTGGGTTTGCGGGTATGAACATAATCACTAAGGTCTCCCTCAACCGTGGGATGAGCCACTATGTGCTTGTGGTTTATAGACACGCCTTTGCTACTGCGGCTATTGCTCCTTTTGCTCTTGTTCTTGAGAGGTACCTATGACAGAAGAAAATAGAAAAGTTTTCGCTTCGTTGTTTTGAATCGTTTTCTGATCAACCTTCTCATCTTCTTTTGTTTGTCATTGGCAGGAAAGTGAGGCCCAAGATTACATTTCTTATGTTCATGCAAATATTCGTGTTGGGTCTACTTGGGTAACTATTTTTGTTGCTCTAGACACCCATGTTCATTATGATCGGTGCATCCAGAAAAACATGTTCTAAAATTTTCCCTTTTTGTTCTGTTGTTATAGGCCTGTGATTGATCAGAACTTATACTATGCGGGGTTGAAATTCACTTCCCCTACCTACTCATGTGCAATAAGCAACATGCTCCCTGCAATGACGTTTGTGATGGCTGCTATTTTCAGGTATATTTCAGCACACTATCAGTGAATATTAATTCTCTTCATCTGTTATTACAATTTTTGTATTGCTTGACCTGACATGCTTTTTTTCTCTGCTTGGGATGAATTAGAATGGAAAAGTTGGACATGAGAAAACTTAGATGCCAAGCAAAAGTGATAGGAACTATAGTAACGGTTGCTGGGGCCATGTTGATGACACTGTACAAAGGGCAAGTCATCAATTTCTTGGGTTCTCAGTACATGCATCACCCCAGAAATTATGTTCCAGAAAACACCACTGATTCTGGGGAAAAGGATTGGTTTAAGGGCTCTATTCTTCTCATAATTGCCACCCTTGCTTGGGCTTCTTTCTTCATCCTTCAGGCAAGTAATCAAGTGTTTTTAAATCAAACTGTGGGGAGAGAGTAGCTTACCCACTTCTTTGATTTCTTTGATTCTTATTCATGCGACTGACTTGTTACATTATGCTGTGGTTAATGCAGGCAGTCACACTAAGGAAATACCCTGCTCAGCTCTCTCTCACAGCACTTGTGTGTGCCTTAGGTACACTGCAGTCGATTGCAGTTACCTTTGTCATGGAACACAAGACATCTGTTTGGAGCATTGGCTGGGATATGAACCTTCTTGCAGCAGCCTATGCTGTAAGTCTCTCTCACTTTGTCTGAGAAATTATTGTACTGTCTGAAATCATGTGGCTCAAATAAAGAGCATAGACACAGTAGTTTCAGACAATACAATCATTTTTTTTTCTATTTTGGTGGGTATTGGTGAACCATACGAGAGTCTAAATAGACGTATACTTTGCTGAACAGGGAATAATATCATCAGGAATCACCTACTATGTTCAAGGGATTGTCATGCAAAAGAAAGGGCCTGTTTTTGTAACTGCCTTCAGCCCTTTGATGATGATTATCGTAGCCATCATGGGTGCATTCATCCTTGCAGAAAAAATATATCTTGGAGGGTAAGTACTCCTACTCATTCACAATTTCACATCCAGTCACTGTTCCCATTCCCACTGAACGGTTCATGCTTTTAGCCACAAAGAAACTTCGCTTTCATGCGGTTTCGTCTCACAGCTTATAAGTTGGTCTTAACGAAGCCAGTTCACTTTATCATAAACTAAAAGCTATGTATTTATTACATGAAAGTCGAAACGTCGTAATCATAAAAGGCTCACACTTTGAAACAGTGGTGGACATGTTTTCGGTGATAATCCAATAACTGATGTGGAATCATCTACTTGTGATTTCAGGGTCATGGGAGCTATTCTCATAGTAATGGGACTTTACGCAGTTCTGTGGGGAAAATACAAGGAGAACAAGGAGAAAGAAGCGGAGATAACCAATGAGGAGATGAAGTGTTGTTCAGAAAATGGGAGGTTGGAGACTGTGGTGGAAGAAGCCGAAGCAAACAACGATATCGAGATGCAAAAGGGTGAAGAAACGTCGAGAGATTTAAGGGTAGCCATTGTTGTTCCAAAAGTTTAAAGTGGTATGGAGGAATGAATAATAGAGGCTGCAATGAAAAAGGGTCGTTAACTGAGGAGAGCAGAGAAATTACAAGGGGTTTTTGTTTTGTGTACTCACCATCTTTTTCGGAAAATTAACAAGAGTTTTCTTTTTTGGGACCTTCTGTCTGGACCTTACTGTCCATAATGTAACTTAAATTTTGCACACTTTGGTGAAAAGGAAAATTGACATTGCAGAATTCTTCCTCTTTCCCTTTCTCAGAATAATTCGCAGAATGATAATTGCTGACATCTAATTGCAGGCATAAACGGTCTAATCTACATGAAAGATTTCTATAATTTAAGCATTAGATGCTGCTTCTTTTACCTTCTTAATTAATTTATTGATTAATTGAAGCTGAAACTTATCTAATCCTACAAGACACAAGTTCACTGATCCTCGTTTGGCAGAATATTACAAGAACAAAGTAAAGTAACCTCAAGATTACATGCGAATGCTTGAAAGAAAGCAATCTAAGCAATCTAACGGCTCGAATTTAATTATACCAGAATCAAATTTAGGCAACTTAAAAGCAAATGCAATTTTGTATCATTCATTGAATTTGTTGTTTTAACATTAGATGTATAATCTTGCATAGGAATACGAAGAATAGACAATGCTTTCTGCATAAGGCAATGCTCATTTCCCATAAGTTTACAAGATTTTCTGGCTGAGATTTCACAATGTTACAATTACTAATCAACCTTTTGGGATTAGTCAACCTTTGGTTCCAGATAATCAAAGTTTAGTTCCCAAAAAATAATCAACTTAGCTAGAACTAAGAAGAACTGGGACAGGAAATCAGGAATGTTATACCTTCAGTGGACCAGCTGAAAGATTTTATTCTAAATTAATATTTAAGATTAGTAAAAAGATTCTATCATGAATTGAGATTAGTAAAAATATTTCACTCTTATTTTCAAGAACAGATTCTCTCCTATCTGTTTATGAATGAGAATCCAATTATGTGAATGTGATACAACATTTCCTCACTCACTGAATATCTACTAGGGAGGAACAATTGCATCACTGATTCCAAGTGATGCAACCGTGAGATTAAGTGTGAGAACATCATGAGATGCAGATTTACAATTCCATAAAGTGCTTGCACAAAACATTCTGATTCTCAAAACTTCTTTAAAAATGCAAAACCATGGTTCTGTCACCATCATGTGTCAATTAAATGGCCAAATTGGAGGAAATGTGAAATGTTAGATACACTTCCACCAAACAATGTCTCGTTTTGTTCTAACTTTGATTCTTGTGGAAGATTAGCATTGTGTTTTTCTTTTGGTAATGTAGATGAACTTGTTTAAACTTGGTTGACAAAGTTATTCTCAATTTCTTTGTTTAGAGTTAGAACTATATTTAATTCAACCTTGAAAGGCACAGGGAAAATGAGAATTTGCCAAACAAATTTTGATGATGTTTGTTTGCTCTTGGATTAATTAACTGTTTTGAAACTTTAACTAAGAAATGGACATTAGTGGATGATTAGGCAGCATTATTTTATTGGTGGTAGATTCAGAATATGTTTGCTCTCATCTACAACAGAAAGAGTATGACAGAGATACAAAAAATAAATGGATGATTATGACTTTGTATAATGGACCTATATGCTAGCACCCACTAAAAATAAACAAAAAAAATATAGATATTTAATTAAAATCTTACTTCAAGAGAAAAAAAAAACGAATCTGAATATTTTAGACATCTTCACCAAGTAATCACTTAGAGCAGATAAGGAGAAAAACAGAGTTTTCTTTTTAAAAATAATCCTAATTTAAAGCCTCAAATCAGCACTTTAACCTAGTTTCTTAAGATGAATCGATGCAAAATTTTCATACCTAATATCTTGCTAGTGTTTTGAGAAAGTCATTGAAAAAAAAGAAACGTACCATCGCCGTAAGAATCCATAGATCAAATCTCTAAATAATAGTTTCAAATCATGCGTATTATGAGCATTGAAATTCTTCGAGAATGCATGAACCATAGTCTGTAATCCAAAGGAATCATACTATTTTGTTACATTAATTAAGTGGTATCAAGTCAAGAACAAGTAGATGTTTAAATACAAATTTAATTGATTACGTAGGATTGGTTTATCTACATCGAATCTATTAGAAACAAAACAAATTTACATTGTATAAATTATGCAAATCTCCTCTTACAAAGATTATGAAGTAAATTTTAAACTTATCTAATTTTATTAAACATGTTTATAAAGTGAGGTTTACATATTTTAAATTGATCATCTTTAATTGATGTGAGACTTTTAACATAAAACTAAAATTTTTTTATATAATAATATAAATCCAAAATATAAATAATAATAATAATAAATTAATTACAAATAAAATAATATATCTAACAATATATATATATATATATATATGATTATAATTGCATCATTCTTCTAACAACTTGAGGGTGAATACATTATACATGAATATTAATATAAAAACATAGATGAAAACAAAATGTTGAATTATTTGAGAGATGTGTGATGGCCAATTAGCACTAGACATCTGATGCAACGTCCACTACGTATTGCAACATGATTGTGTATCCACTTTTGTACACGGAGAAGGGTAAAAAGGGTGTTTTCTTTTCTCAAGATTTTCACTAATTCAACTTTTTAGTAGAGACAAAAAAAAAACTACTATACTTCATTTATTATTTATCTTGATCACATATGAAAGACTTAAAATAATCAATGATTCAGAAAACCTAGCTTAAGCCGATCTGACCAACAATGATCCGTGAAATAATTAGACGAGTGGGGAGACATGTTAAAGCACTGTTCACATTCCCCAGTGCACCACACACTACTTCAATGGATATACTAATCATTCATCAAAAATCATCCATCACAACCACTATAAAAGTTGTTCACATGTTTTAGAGTAATATTGGAAATGAATTGTTACTGTATATGTTATTAATGGAATGAAGTATTTGTGCAACATCTATTTTCCACATATTCTTTGTTTAATATCTACTTGCTCTTTTTTAAAGCACCAGAGAACCCTATCCGGGAGACACTAACGAGACTCACCCTACAGTCTTAACATTTACACCCACCACCACTTCTCATTTTATTTACTATTTTTCTCTATTAATTATTATATTATATATTTTTCTTGTCCTTGTCTCACCCAATCAACTTCACTTTTATAATCATGCTGCCTATGTCATCCTAGATTTATATTTCCCAATCAATTATCAAATATATGGCGACAAATTAATAAAATATGATTCTTATAATTGGAGCTTCCACAACAGCAATGAGTACAACTTTATTATACAATATTATTTTCTGTGATATTGGTCCAAATGAAAAAATGTTTTAAATATTTTAAGTCTTCATTCTTATGTGAAATTATTAGACATAATAAAAACATCATCCTAGGTCAAAATTTTAATTTCACATAAAAAATAGAATGGAAGAAACTCTTGGTTCTTTATTGTTTTTCATCTTTAAAAAACTATTTATGCCAAAGTAAATTTATATGCTGGAATTATACTTTTATATTTTTTTTGAAAATAAAACTGCAATAATTAAATCATGCGACAAGACCTTGTACACGTCACTGGTGTCACCTGAAGAAACGGTCATCCGTGGATAAATGTAGTTTTGCTTTTTGTGTTATATTCTTTTTATTTTTGAGGTCATAAACCAATATTGATTCATTCTTGTGGCTAGAAACTCAGAGGGGAAGATATTTCGTGAAAGTTTTTTTATAAATAATAATGAAAACCATGCGGTATGTGTATGGTGTTTTTCTAAAAGATAATTAAAATAATAAAATTATTATTATTATTATAAAATTAAATATAAATAATTTTTATTTATTATGTAAATATAATTAAAAATTTTGTTAAACTTAAAAAAGTGTCCAAATTGAAAATGACAGTTATTTAAAAAAATAAAATAATAAAATAACTATTTTAATTTTAAAAAGTAAAATTAGAAAATAAATGTATACGCAACTCAAATTATTCTACTTGAAATTTTGTAAAACCAAATTAAAACCAAAGCACATAAATAAAAAAAAAATTGTACGTTAATTATATACAAAGGAAACCTTTTTTGTTAAGAGAAATTCTTACGCTTTATAAAAACTTGTATTTTCTTTTATATTTTGCCGACATACATAATGAAACCACAGTGTAAGATATTTTTATTTATATCTCTGAAATTTACTTAAAGGATAAGAAAAAAATGTGTGCAAAATTAATATTTAAGAAATAATAAACTTATAATATAAACAGCAAACAAGTAACAACTTAAATTGGAGTTTTAACAATGTAGAAACTAATTAATGTTAAATTTGTTAACACTTTAAAAATTAATATTTGTGCAGCATTCCCGAAAAGTATTCGGTGGACGGGGTATTTTTAGGAGTAAAATACAAAATACATGTATATCACTAACTATAGGAAGTGTAAATAATGTTTCAGAGGGCTTGAATAACAATGTGTTAATGCAAAGGCCCACACAAGTGATGCATTTAAGAGTTTTTTTCTGGCCCCATTTTTAGGCCTTACCCGTCTGCTTCAACCCTATCCATTTAATCCTACCATTTTCGTATTACATGAATTATTGCTTTAAAATACCTAAGTGAAATATAAAGTGAATCAAGCACATGGCGATTTTAAAATATTACAAAAATTAAATATAAATTTCAAAATTAAGAATACTACTAGCAATTTTAGTTTGGGGATGGACGAAACGACCATTTGTCATGTCGTTTAGCATTAGTAACGTGGATCGGTCTTTCCTCTTTTAAACATTCGATTGGTGATGAAAAACATACTAACTTGCCTCCCATAAAAAAAATGCAAATTAATTTTTCTAATTCACCTTACATGACGTTTGACCTGCAAGTTTGTGATCAATCATTATATAAAACTTTTAATAATTTTATTTTTATTTTATTAAATTAGTAAAAATAATAATTTATATAGACTCATTTATTAAAATAAGTAATATTCTTAATTTGTAATTTATATATTTTAAGTACAAACTTATGGAAAATAGAAATAATTTTGAGATTAACAAAACAAAAGAAAAAATATGAATAAAGAAACTATCTTTTTGATAGATTAGATACAAATAAGCAAATTACTTTTGGAGAGACAGAGAAAGAAAGTGAATAAACAAGTTTACATATAAGAAATACACACAACATGTTT